AGTCTAGTCGATCGATAAATCTGAGTACAGACTGCATGTAAAGTCGATTTACGTAAATTCATACGTACGCTACTTATCCTGAAAGGGTTATGAAGACTATATCTAGTTAAAACAGTTTTATTTTAACTCACGTCACCTAACAGCTGTTTTTTGCAATACAGACAGCTAACGGAATGAATGCTTAAGCCATCGCTTAGTGTCGAATTTGTTGAACATGTAGGTGCTGCGTATTTGTATTCATAAACTAATAAATTTTACTGTTTGAATACGCTGTGGTAGAGTACAGTCATGAATGGTAAAAGTAGTAAAAGTGAACCAATGCGTAAACGCACCAAAGATAGATGGATTTTTGGAGATGAAAATTATAAAGAAATATGAATGTGTATGAAGCTTAATGAACGTAGAACATGATCTTGGTCTTGCATGATCAGTCGTGAATACAAGTGAAGGATTCTTCCCATTTAAAGAGGCATGAACGTGTGATATGGAACAATTGCTTGACTTAAATAAGGATAAATTATTAAATGAAGAACTTATTGAATTAGAGGCAAGAGTAGTCGTTAAAGGCCTAGGCTTCGAAACCAGAGGTGGAACCAAAATGTTTCGTGACGAAAGCGGCGACTCGTATTCTGTGAAGTTTCAACAGGAACGGTATGATTGGAAAAGATGGATCGTAATACCTCACGGTTTTTGAAGGTCCAAGGAAAAATAGGTAACGCTCTCGCCTGCTAGCGAGTAATTTATGAAGAAAAGGAAGATGCAACTGCTATCATCAGGTCATCTCTTGATAATTTTATAAGGAAGGTCGAACGGCTAAATTAAAGTTTTATTTTCTATTTTCTCATACCATACGTACTGTATTAAATGATTAAATATTGAAATTAATTTGTGCATTTTGTGAATGAAACTAACAAAATAACCTTTAAAATATGTTAATGTACAACTGTTAGCAACTAATAAGTTGTGCGAAGGCGGGTTAAATCCGATTTTCGTAAAATTCGTGTTACGTAAGGTTTACAGAACGTAACGCATGCAGGCTGGGTCCTGTATGTGCTTTTGACCTCGCGCAGCTCCATATAACGTCTGTGTCTCGTAGATGGCAAGGAGTCGTTTAAGCATACCACTGCTCCTTAACAGTGTCTTCAGAATCTCAGACTTGTTTAGTGTCCAAGCTCGTCGCTTGTGAGCTGCTGACCTTACAAATGAATGGTCAGGAATTCAGCACCCAGACCCATCGAAGCGTTTGGGATGTGACGCTATATAGACGACTATGACGATGCTAAAAATCAGCGAATGGGTCTTAAAAGATGCTGACATTCTACAGTCACAGCTGAAAATACTCAAAAGCGGAAGCTGAGCTTGCGGTATTTTTGTCACGTTATGAGGAATAATGATGTATAGAGAAAGATGCTGTGCTACAGGATTTGATTCCAGGATCACGACCAAGCGAAAGACAAAGGCAGCGATGGACGCATGACATAATGCATTGATCATATAAATGAACATCATCGACGCCACGGGAATCGAGAACGGCCGGAAGTTGTATGCAGGATACCAAACCACGTCTTTCATTCTCTAAGGAAACTGGCAACTGTTGATTAGAACGTTACGATATTTGAGCACTTGCATTGCAGCAATGGACTTCACAAGATTTTATTGGCTAGAATCAAGCCTTAGCGTCGTAATTAATGACGTCACTTGTTTAAACACCAGGGCCAAAAATATGAATTCATATGCCTAGATTCATATTAGTGAATGTAAGGCTCCATTAGGCAGAGTTTCGTGATGGCACCTCATCAAATAAATCTTATTCGCGTCAATTTGCACAACTGCCGAACATATGCGAGGTCAGTTCGATATTCATGCACAGATTTGAAGACGTATCTTCCAGCTACAAGTCGGATCCTTTTCTTGGCCACAGATCAGTTTAGTTCCAACATTGAAATGCTCACCTGATTAAACATTCTATTTCCATGTACTGTCTGTAATCACTCGTGAATGCTACGCCGAAGAACTTAAACTTATACCTGCTGTATAGTTGTTTTCAACTTGCTGCAGAGCCCACCGAGTGCTTTTCTCAGAAGTACAAAGCCTCGTTCTTGGTCAACTTATTTTCATCACGACCTTATCCCATGTAGCAACGTAGCGATAAGGGGGATTTTAGAGGTAATGACTGGAAGCAACAAACATGAGAAAACGATCAGCAAAGTACAGATGAAGATGGGTATTTGAACGGGTAAGGCTAATGGTGCGGTCTCTGTAGCGAAACTCGTTAGTCATAAGTTGTCGTGCCATCTGTTATATTTTGAGCCCTGAACCACGAATCATTCAAACACCTATCTATATAACTGGGCCTAGAATCAAAAGCTTGAAGTATCATTTAGTAAAGAATATATAATTCAAGCTTTTTCGTAATAATGTCTTGCATGTCTAGGCTGCACATAGTGATCAGTTTAAAATTAAGAGTTTAGTAAGCTCATACTTACTTTCATCACTGAACTCATTTAATATTTACATTCATATCCGTCATAAATCAAGAAGAAAAAGAAAAGATTACGATGGTAAAGTTTTGTAAAAGAGCAATAAAGGACTTCTGACAAATGCAGCTTAGTTTATAATTGAAAAAATATCCCTAGTAACTTCTTCCATCTCGAATATAAAGGATGTAAATGAGGTGTCGTCAATGGACTGCCCGCGTGAGCAAGCTTGGCAAGCTTCAGAACATTGTGAGTCGAGATGCAATTGAAAATACTTGCAATTCGATAAATCAGAATTGAAACAGTCTGGCCATGTGGAGAGAATGTCAAGGCCGAGATTCATAAAATAGAGTCCCCGCAAATGT